CAAAACAAAACCCTTCTCTGGCATATAACTTGAGCATCAGGGAGAGGGGGGGCCAGGCAGTGGAGAATGCAACATCTGAGACTCATAGCGTCTCAAGGCTGGAGGAAAGCTAAAAGGTCATCTATGTTGATTTTTTCGGTCAAAACACATTATTCAATGAGCCTGATGAAAGGCCATGAATCTGGAGAAGAACCACTTAGGAAAGGAAATTCATACTCAGTTCAAACCCATGAGTGGCTGGGACATGGTCTATGCCCAGACAGCCTCAGCACACTGATGGGGGACAGCGTGGTGCACGGGCGTGCAGCCGCTGGAGAGAAGGGAGTTATTTCAAACAGTCTCTGAGAGGTTGTGGCTTCCTCAGTGACATGTGCTTGTGGTTTGCAGATGGATGGACTAAGAATTCAAGCTTTCATAGATAAATAAATATGTGTAAAATTTACATATGTATCCAATCCCAGGGGGGACTGGTTAGTGACGGCATGTCTGCATCTATCAGGAATTCACTTTCTTGCCAGAGTTCAGTGATGCTGTAATATCTCACGAGAAAATAGAGAGACTGAAGTGGGAGCAGCACCTTGGTTCCCACCAAACAAATAAATCCTGCACTCATGTGGGAGCCAGTTGGATGATAATTTTTTTTTTCCTGCACAGAGTGGTGCTAGTCCTGAATCCATGAAGGCCTGCAAGCCCAGAGGACAGCCGCTCACTTCGCTTGTTCAGAACGGGGTTGGCTCCGTGCTGCAGAATGGCCTTCAGAGCGAGAAGAGAAAAATGCCCCCACCCACACGTGTCCAGTCCCCTGGGAGGTGATTCAAGAGAATTAAAGTGATGTAAGTGAAGGTTTCAGATGACAGGGTTATCAGGAGTTCTCTCCGTGGGAAGGTGTGGGAAAACAGTTCCCACTCTGAAGGGCTATTAAAAGAATCAAATGAAATAATGCCTGGGAACGGAGCTTTTGTCCCACTATAAAACATCATTATATCAGAGTCAAGTTTCACCACTCTTAACTGTTCATAGGGAGCCTGCAAATTTCGATTATTCATTCGATACATTTATTAAGGGCCTACATTGTGCCAGGCAATATGCTGAGATGCTGAAGAAATAAGAACTCATTCATGCCCTAGAGGCTTCATTCAGTTTGGAAAAACACAACGTCATGACTCAGGAAATTTAAAGATGCCACTAAAACGTCTAGACACACCAGTGGGACAGTGAGTCATGCACTGCATGCCATGGTGCGCATAGCAGTCTCTCTCTGCTGCGGCTCCAAGTGTCCCTTGGAAAAAGTACCTTTTCCTTTGACAACTGCGGTAGCTCTCAGCTGTGACACTACACAACCAGAAAGAGGTGCAGCCAGGCGAAGACTTCCTTAGAGGGACCGCTTCCAAGTTGACTTGCTGTGTCTTTCCAAATTGTTATCCTCTCTCCCCCTACCCCTTTGGTTCTACCAACCGTCAGTGACGTGGGGGGTGGGGTGGGGTGGGGTGGGGAAGGGCGAGGATGCCGTGGTGAGGGAAGGTGGACAGAGCATTGTAGACTAAGGCCAAGGTTAAATTTTGCTACCAGAAATTTGAACGTCCTGGGCAACTTGAAAAAAAAAAAGTTGCTCATCTCTATCTGCCAGTATTTAACCTGAAGACTTTGGCTCTACATACACAGCGCATACATATCACTAGAGTCGTAGCATCTCAGCAGGGTGGGCTGCATCTAAGGGAACTTGAAAAGCCCGCTGTAAAGTGCGCGAGAGGAAGGACATCTCGCACTCGTGAGGAGCAGGAGCAGCCTGGAACCAGCCCTCAGGTGACCACTGCAAGCCTGGGGCATCATCAAAAAACTAGCAGAGTTTTGAGACAGAAGACCTGGGGTGGGGGTTGTGGGGCTTCCAGGTCTCAACATCCAAAAAAACAGGATACGCTTTAAGCCGCAATGACTAGGGCAGTGACACAGATCACAGAACTCCATAGAATCACGGGACTCTGGGAAGATTTAGAAGCTTCCCCCTTCATTCCACCTTCACCTCTGTTCACCTCCTACCTCTGCTCTTTGACAACTTTTTTTTTTAAAACCAAGTGAGCCTCAGTTTCTTGCCTGCCTTGTCACCGAAAGCCTTGCGCCCTGAGTCCACTCCGTATTGTTGTTCTGTATGGTGAGGAGCCAACTGGCCAGCGAGTGACTGTGTGACCGCCAGGTGAGGCAGGGGTGTCTCGCTCATCTTGGCAGAGACCTTGGGCCTCGCTGTGATGAGACGTGCAGCTGCCCCAGCTCCCTCCTCATCTGCCTGGGGAGGAATGAGTCAGTACACCGCCAGCAGACTGGCCAAGTGGGCAGTTCCTTGTTCCTCCGCATAACCACCTCCTGTCACAGGTTCTGCATTCTGCGTGGCGATCTGACCCCTGACCGCGATGACCTCGGGCAGAGTCTGCTTTTGAAAGGTCTGTTAGTTGACGAGGGGGCTGGGTCTCTGTTGCAGCTGAGGGGGTGAAGGGGGCTCTGTGTGGGAATAGCCAGTGGCAATACCAGGCACATATCATCTCATTTAACACTCACCAAATTAGGAAGTAGGCTGAAGTCATTCACTCATTCATTCATTCAACAGACGTTACTGAGTGCCTACTATGTGCTGGGCATTGTTACAGGGCTCGGGATGTACCAACACAAAGATTTCTGTCTGTGAAGAGCTTACATTCTAGGGCGAAGGTGCAGGAGTGGACGCAGATTAAACAAATAAACAAAAAGTCCTTTTAGAGAAAGTAAGTGAATTCTGCTTTCTGGCCTCCTCACCTTACTTGCATGGCCTCCAGGATCATTTATTTGAACGTTTATGCAATAATTATTAAGCAGACACTAGAATTCCAAGCCCTACAAAGACCAAGTTGTTCCTTACATCGTCCAGCTGCTCCCCACCTAGGTGGAGAGAGGGAACTGTACATACATAGTTAAAATGCAGCGTATTAAGCGCTGTAACAGAGGCATCCATGCAGGGCAGGAAAACAGGGCCCCTGCTCCTAGCCCTCCTGCTGCCCCTGGGCTGTCCATCCTCCCCCTTGCAGCCCTGCTCTGGGCTGACTTCTCCTCCACCCCTTCTCCTGCACCTGCTCCCTGGGCCATCTGGTGTCCCTCATCCCTGACACATTCCTCTGGAGCCTGACCAAGGGGAAGTCTTGCTGAAATGGTAATGGATTTCTTGACCGAGGACTAGTTTGTTGTTTATTTCCTCAGATAATTGATTTGTATTTTAACTTGCTTTTAATGCCTAGCAACAAAGGGAGGCTGGTGTCACTGTGGGAGGGCCATTCGCAGACTGGGGAAGGGAAGACTGGGGATGGCCCAGTTTCTCAGGTCACAGCTGGCAGGCTCCTACTGACTCCCAACTCCCGCCACGGCTCAGTCATCTTTAGAAACTTCCTCCTTTCTTTGCAAACAGTCTGGGCATCTGGATCATCCTTTACGAAAGCACCTTTGGAGTCAAAGGTGTTTACGGCTCTACAAAGCCTCAAAGATTTTTCAGTCCCGTGGGTTTCAGCTTAGGATCCAGGATGTCCACTAGTGGCCTTCAGGGAGCTTGAGGGCTCCTGAAATTCTCTGTAAACTTCTGTGTAAATATGCTTAAATGCATTTTCTTTTTCTTGAATATGAGACCTCTAGCTTTCATCAGGTTTTTAAACATCTCACAGATCCAGAAAAGGTGGTCCTCATTGTAAGTGATGGACTTGAGACTCTACAGAGAAATAAAGTGACTTTCTAGAGAAGGCACAGTTACAGTGGGAAGAAGAGGAAGGAAGAGGGGAAAGAGAGAGGGAGAGAGGGCAGGGGTCAGTACAGAGCTCTGAACTCAGGTTTCTGCTGCCCACATCAGGGCTCCTTCCACCCTACCCCAGAAGATGAGAGCTTTAGGTATTTGATTCAGGACCTGTCAGAGTTGGATCCTACACCCCAGTCATGCCTGTTCACCTGCTGCAGTAGAGTGGGAACAGCCTTATGGAGGCTGTTTGGAGACCTGGACAAGGTCCCTGCCCCATCAGATAGCTACTGATACCCACTGACCTTGAGCTCTGATTTTACTATTTATCACTGCTTCACACAGAAGCAAAGCCGCCAGTCCCCAGAGACATGGTGCCTCCCTTGGGCATCTGTGGAGTAATGGTGTCTGGTTGGCAGAGGGTAAGTATAACCCACAAGGTTGCCCTTCCAAGCATCACACTGCAGAGAGTAAGCTACATCACTTGAGTGAGCCAACCTTCAAATGTTGGCACTTTCGGATCCCTTTGTCCAAAGTAGAAATTCTTGGCTTGTGCGCAGACTGAAGAGCTTGGGACCAGTTGTACTGCCAACATCCAGTGTCAGTTATCAGGGTAAATAACCATATAGACATTCTCCCATTCAACTCAAAGGCCAGCTCAGGGGATATCTGGCATCAGTCCAGTGGGCAGGAAAGGAGCAAAATTCCACAGCATGGAATTACAAAGTGATCTAGAAAACACAGATCTCTTTTCCAGTCTATAACTATATGCTACGTTTGCCACTGTGACCTGGAACAGAGTTGGCTTCTGCCAAAGAAGGCCTGCAGGAAAACACAGGTTCCCAGATAGGTCCAGTAGCCTTGGATGCAACGAGAAGTTAGTGTGAGAGAGGGGAAAGAGCACTGGAACGGGAGTCAGCAGACCTCAGCGTAGAGGAGAAGCCCCATGAAACTGCTGGGTGGTTCTGGACAAGCCACTTCCTTGCTCTGTTGTTCTGTTTGTTTCCTCTTCTGTCAAAAGAGGGGTGTAGGAGCACTGGGTTGATGATCTGTAAGGTTCCTCCCAGAGGGACTATTATTCTAGCCTTTCATTCATTCATTCATTCATTCATTCATTCCCTTTTATATGCTAGCTGCTGCATTTCAAATCTGTGACAGCCCAGACTTATCTGTAGCCAGAAACATGCACCAGGGCACCCCCCAAGCTCTCCTCCAGCCCCAGGAGCTCTGAGGGGCTGCGTGTGACTGCCAAGCTCACCAGCAGGAGTACGGGCATCTCTTGCTGTAGCGACAGCAGTAAAATTGCCACTCCCGATCCAGCACTGACTCGAAGTAGCGGCTCTGGAACCCCGCCACCAGCCCGTTGTTGGAGCACGTCTGGTACCTGAAGAGAAGAGAGCAATGCCAAGTAAACGAGGGACAGTGTTTACTGGGACCCCAGACGCCCTTCCCAAGATCACAGCTCTCACACTTACTGAGTCAGGTTCCTCTTTCACTGACCTAGATTCCTAACAATTTATTCCATTCTTATGCAAATGATAAAGGCTTTGTTTTATTTGTAGAAATGGCACGCACTCGCCATTAAAATTCAAATGATCCAGGATCTTTCAAGGGAAGGAAATGTGGGGAACTCTGCTCTTGAATATCTTGTTAGACGGAAAGAATGCATAAATGGATGGCTATAGAGACACTGAGAATTTTACAAATGCAAGACTGTATTATTCATGCTGTTTAAAATAAAAGATAATATAATGCACTGCACTTGAATTCAAAATAAAAAGAAGACAAACACGATGGATCGGTGAATTTCAAATAAACATTTCTTCGGCTGAAAAGAAGAGCTCTGGCAACTGAACACAAGGATGCTCGTTCATCCTACCCCTAAAAAGGATGTAAAGCCCGGCTGGGCACAGCGGTTTGCGCAGGGTGACCCAGAGGGGTAGCGGGGACCGCAACCCCAGATCCAGCAATCTTTCTACTGCCCACCAGACTGCAAGTTCCGCAGGGTCAGGGAGCGTGTTGGTCAAAATTCTATCCCCAGTGCCCACTGCGGCTCCTGGCATATAAAGACACTCCTTGCAGAGTGGTGACTCGCTCCCTGAACTCCCTAAACACCACTAAGGGTCCCTTTCCTGCCCTAGCTACTCAGTTCTAATTCTTCCAGTCCACAGACCCTCCCTGCAGTCGCATGAATTTTCGCTCTTTCATTCTGTCTGGGCTGCTGTTGGTCTAGGAATTAGCTCCAAAGCACCTCCCGCAGAGTTGCCTTAGCACAGTATTATTTCCTCCTTTGCTCCACCTCCCGTACTGCGGCCTCCCAGTGCTGCCCCACATCCCACCAGTGCCTTACGGCTTAGCTGCCTTGTGCCGTGATGAAGAGGAGGCTGTTCTCCACCTGGCCGCAGTGGGCTCACACCTTACGTGGAGGAGTGAGAGCTTTCACAAGCCCTTCCAAAACAGGTCTTTAGCGACCTCCATTTCTTGGTGTCTTTTACCCACCTGGCCACTGATCATGTTCACTCTTATGAGCGAGCAGAACAGACAGTTGTCTCTGTGTCATGGCCTGACAGCTGCTGGAATACAGCCCTGCTTTCCACGTAAAGATAAGTTGCCACAAAATATAACAGATAAAATTAGAATAAGTATGCTGGGCTGATGTAGGTGAGAGAGACCTTGCAGACACACAACTATAAAGCTATCAGTGACTGAATTTCATTTTATTCTTTTTAATTACTGGAAATGATCTTCTGGATCTGCCAAAACTAGATACTAAATATGTTTCATGCTTGTACTTTTCATTCATTTATTATTCACTTATTCATTCCTGCAAATATATGTATATATATTCAAATATGTGTTTATTTATTCACCCATCCACTCGGCATTGTACTCCACTACCATTCTGTATCAATCACCATGCTTCTGTGTTGAGAAAGAATTGAGAGATGGGCTTGGTACCTGGTCATCATGCAAATTAGCCTGAATTCCCTGCTCCCAGGACCTGTAAGAAGCTCTGACGGACCTTAGAGAGCTCAGCTATAGGAGACTGATCATGCAAATTAAGATGTAAATTGAGACCCAGACGCTTTGATGACCTAGCCTTTGCTCTACCGTTCTCCATCTCATCAGGAGTTTTACCAGTTTGGAAAACACCTGGTGCATTTCAGGAAGCCACATGGTTGGAATGGATGACTAGGGTCTGAAGGGTAACACTGGGGGCTGATCGTCCAGCGTGGTTTATCCTATCCTAATTCTGGCAATGTTAGTGAGAGCCAGCTTCAACAGAAAGCTCTAAGTGTTGTAAACGAAGCTCACATGTATGCAAAGAGAGATGGTGCAGGAGACTGGTGCTCTTTGTCATCTCCCTCCTTACCATCACTAAAATTCTGCCTTCCTCCAAAACGGCCCTTTCAGAACTGAGCCAGCCTGTAGTTTCCCTGGAGCTGTTGTTCCATTGTTTTGGTTTATCCTGTGCACTTAGAACAGGGGCAGCATTCCCGTGGTGGTAAGTTCCCATAAGCAAAAATAAATGCAGCAAGATAAGGCGACCTGTTTCATGGGGTACCAGTTCTGAAGGCCATCCAAGTTCCATGAATTCTCTGCCGGCTGTCAGCCAGGCAGCTGGCTCCACAGTCTTGTATGGGAAGTGTGTGTGTCACTCTCTCACACACCACCTCAGATAACACTGCCCGGTGAAGATTATTTGGACATTGCAGGTCCAAGGCCTGAAAGCATCTGATGAAAATTAGATAACCACGTAGAACTCACTTCCCTAAGCTTTCTGTCCCATTGCCTTCATATTTTGGTAGAATGAGCCTGCACTGGAGTTTGGTAGTGTATGTGGCCAACACAATGAGATTATTCCTTTTAGAACTGGATTTTTGGGCATGTTTGGGTATACGTGGGTGCAGTATAGCAGGGTGGCTAAGAGCACAGCCTATGCTGCTGGATTGGTGCTCCAACCACTCCTGACTGAGTCACCTTTGACAGGCTTCACACCCTCAAATGGTCTCAGTTTCCTCATCTGTAAAGTGGGCATAACAACAGTATGAACTTATTTAAGTTATTGTGAAGATCGAATAAGTCAATGTACATACAACTCTGGGAATAGTGTCTTTTAATGCTTAATAAATTACTTATTCTTGTCATCATACTTTCATTTCGTCCACATGGTGCTTGTGAGTACACTCTTGTGAGTCTCCATCAGTGGAAAGCTGATGGACTCATACGCATTCCTTGAGGGGTTGGTTTCCTAAAACAAAGCTCATGGAGGTTGGCCGTCTTACTTGCTGATGCACCCACTTTGTAGCATAGAAACCTGAGTATGACTTACTGCCCCCAATAGATGGCAAAGTCCTTGAGGGAAAAGATCACTTTATCTTGAATTTAAATTATCCACAATGCCTGTTACTGGGGTCCAGCAAATGTTTAATGGAAGAATAAATAAATGAATGAATGGTCAGAGTATTTTCCACCATCAGAGGCAGAACTGACTTTTAAGAGCCCATCAGTCAAATCCAGGAAGGGCTTGGAAACTCTAAGTATTTCCCAAGTGGGAACTAAGGTGAGAGACCCATCTTCCCACTTCCACCTTCTCCTTCAGGAAAAAGCCTTCTCTAGGACGAGGGTGCAAAAGGTATATAGCTTTGGGCATTTCTCTCCTTCACTCCTTTCCCTGTCAATCACCTTTTTCTAAAAGCAACTTATTAATAAAACTCATCTAAACATTTGGCCACAAGCTGCGGGATTGCAAACACAGGTCCCAGGCAGGTGAGAAGGGCCATGAGGCACCTGTCAGGGGGAGGGGACTGGGGGCACTGGAGAGGGCTTGCCTTATTAATGTGATTCAAATTCAATTAAAAAAAAATGACATCCCGGAGGCTGCGCTTCACTTCCCACCACCTGGGTGTTGCCCCTGAATGGTCCGTAGAAAGTTACTGGCACAAGTCTGCAGCTTTCCTGGTGAATGGTGATGGGACCTGGGCCAAAACCTCAACACAGTGGTGGGAACACTCCCTCAGAGGCTGAGGGCATGGGGAGGGCTCTGCTTCAAGGCTCTCTCTTCTCCACCTAAAGAGACATATTTTCTACCTCACTATTCCTTTGAAGGCTGGAGGCTCAGTTTCACAAACTGGAGCACTGTTAGCCCTGCTCCACCTGACATTAGAACTTTCTAGAAGCAAAATTGCCAGGCAGTTAGTTACTCCTCTTCTGACAACAATGCTCCTGGACCTTTTTGGAGAAAGTGGCCTTTCTGCATGCAAGTGGTTTCTCTCAGGGCCATGACTCTGAAAACAAAGACAGAAAACCTTCTCCTGTATCCACGATAATAAAACATGGAAGTGACAGGATGCAGGGGACAGAGCCCTCGCTGAGGGATGAGAAGACATGAGCTCTGGTCCTAGCCCTGGCCTTCACATGCTGTGCAGTGCCTCACTTAGGTCTCTGTGAGGATGAAATGAAGTAGCGCCTGCAAAAATCTTGGCCAAGACAGAAACCGAAAGAGCCAGGATCTGAACTCAGATTTTTCTGAGGCCAAAGCTCCCGTTCATGAACTGTCACGGAGCACAAAAAGTTGCTCCAGGATTGTCCTTCTGTTTCGGATCCCTTCTCCAGCCAGGCTTTCTCCCTGTTCTCTGTGTTCTTCATTGGATCCAGGGCTGTCAGTTGGGTTGAATCATGGAGACCAGGACTGGAAAGTGTGCACATGTCTGGTTTTGCTGGTGAACTCCTCCGTGAAGATTTCGTCTCCCCTCCTGATCTCTGCTAGTCTCAGTCCAAACTTACAGAAAGTCCAAACTCCTAGCAAGTTGGAGGAGGCACTGGGTTGTGTGGAGAACAGGGTAAAGGAAAGCAGCGCTGCCTTGGTTAAGAGCTTTCACAGCGCCGGCAAACGGATGGACTGGTTGTGCTGGTCTCGTCTCTTCCAGCTCCACAAACATACAGACGTGTTTCCAGGGATGCCAGCCAGTCTCCAACTCCATGGCAAAGACAGAATAAGAGCAGCTTTGCCTGTCCTCCAGGCCAGTGGCGAACTCCCTGTGCCTGGGAGACCACGTGGCACAGGCTCTTACTCACCACTTCTCTCCCAACCCAGCCTGATGAGGGTTTAAATTCCACCAAGAAAGATTCATTCCTTTAGAGTAAAGCTTTGACTCCTGTTAACTCTATTTTCCCCAGAATAATCCTTTGAGTTGCTACCAGGCATTTATAACGTAGTCCACAGAATTTCAGAATGTTAGTTAAGTTTTTCAACAAATATTCACTGAAACTACTCTATGCCTTGTACTGTACTTGGTCCAGAATTCTTTCCAGAATTCTGGGAAGAGGCATCACAACAATGCAGATAGTTGGAGAGAAGAAGTAGATTGGTACTAAAGACAG